CTTACAGAAGGTGATGTTTTATCCTAATAAAATTGGTCTAAGAAAGGGCAGTGAAAAAATCCTATTTATCACATATGCAGCACCTCTGATAAATATTAAACTAGAAAGAGAAAACATGGGTTATTGGTTCTTTTACTTCAAGCGGGCTTCCTGTCTTCCCATTTCCCTTAGCCATGAACAGAAAAAAAAAAACAGAATTGATTTACCTTTTTAAATTGATGGGCTGACCAGAATTATGGAATATAATAATTGAATATAATATGAAATTATTTCATGTCTATTTTTGGTGTGTGATCCCTGTTTATATCCTATTACTATTTTCAATAGTATTTTATTAAATAATAATAGTGTTTATTTTTTCACCTTCCTTGCATTTGACTTTTATCTATTTCTTTGTTCTATTTTTTTACCTCCATATATGTTTCTTATTGAGGATTATATATTAACAAGATATTTAAATGCTTAAATTCTATATCTGTAGCCTTTTCAACCTGCTCAGCTTTACCTGCTGAGGTATAATTTTAAACCAGAATAAAACTGATATCTTGGTCATAAATTGAATCCATACCACCTATCTGGAAGGTAGTTATGATCACCAATATACCACTAGACCCAAAGAACTGTTAAACTATACAGCAACCATGATGAAGTAAAATGAGCATTCTGTACAATTTGTAATGGAACCCACAAAAAGTGCTAGGGCTTCTACCTGAAAAAATTAATTTGACAAGAAGAATCACCACAAAAGAGCCCTTCTTGAGTCTTCCCTGAATCATGGAACTCAAAAAGACAACTAGTCACTAATTAATGTTGTGAAGTCAACCATATAAACCAGTGGCACAAGTTTTCATTACACAATGCCTTATTTTAAATAGCCTCCATATTCTGATTTTAGGATTTTCCCGCTGGCTCATGCCCCCTGAATATGGTGAGATAGCCTGTTAATGAGACATGGAATTCCTAGAAGATGTGTGAAAACATGAATGCTAATAGAAGGTATAAGGTTTAAGCAATTGTCTATGAATTGGGTGAGAATTCATTGATAAACTGGTGGTGACTTGCTTTACCACTGAACCCTGTAGGTGCAGAACTTTCAAACAATGCTCTGAATACATAGACACTTCAGCCTTTCTGTGGCTTGTAGCTTATTTGGGCATCTGTCTTGCAAAACTGGCTAGAGTAGTTGATGTATACGTGCAATATGTGTATCTGAAACAGCATGTTATGTGGATCCAACTAGGAGCATCTGATAGGAAAGCCGCATAAAATTCTCTTACAGTCTTCCATTTGTAACACTCCTGTGTTTTCTTGGTACTTATTCCATTTTTTTCCTTTAAAAATTCAGGAAGGAAGGAAAAATAGAATGGTTGTACAATACCTTTTGATTGGTAGTACCAGGAGCTATCCATCTAGAAACCCCTGTAGATAATAACAAGAATATCTTTGCAAAGGCAAAGATGTATTGATATAATTCAGAATAACTGTAATAAAGAGAGGGAATACAAGGGCCATCATTTAAAATCAATAGTTCAGCAACATTTTTTCTACACTAAGTAAAAAAAATCACAGAGTGATAGAGCTGGACAGGAGAAGGATACCAGTGAAAAGCAAAAGCAATATTATGAAGTGCTATAAATATTCTAGACTGATGAAAAAAATAATATTCCCACTTGAAGCTTTTCCTAGAACTGTGTTTTGCAACCATCAAAATCATACCTGTGTGAGTATTTGCTCTTTGGCATATTTCACTTCCTCTAACAAAAAAATGCAGCTTTATCACTATACTATCTCAAAAGGGTATTTGTAAAAAAGTAATGAAAAAATAACCTTACCCAAGTACTGAAATGCTTTTGCAAATGACCTTAAGTTAATTAGAAAAGTATGCACTCCGGTCAGTTCCCCTTCTCATATATCATCTCTCATTAAATTATACATTAAAAAAACTCATTTCAAAGTTAAGCAACACCATGGTTAACGAAACTGTTAAACTGGGATCAAATGAGCACATTCCTACGTTTATATATGATGTCATATTAGGCAGCCCACAATTGAACTCTCTGAGAAATATGATTTTTTAAAAGAGTAACTATCTGATCTAATGCTACTTTTCTCTCCATAGGCTGACTGTGCTAGGAACAGGTGGTCCTGCTTTCAATTACAGAGGGCTAGCATGCCAGTGTGAGGCCTGGATTAGTTCACCTTCTCACAGGGAATTTGTCTCAGTTGGGAATGGATTTATTATGGCTTCACACATGGAATGGAGCTCATGTCAACTGAGGGCAATGACACATCATATGATTCAAATTAACCTGCTGTGGACTGTTTTGCAGGGCTGAGATTGTATATTAAAATGACGACATTTTAAAACAGCTTGAAAGAAACCAGGATTGTTGAAGCGCAATGGTTCCAATTTGTTCCAACTAATCTATCACCTGCTGGAGATATGATTGTATTGGGACTTCTGGTAGCTGCTATTTTCCAGTTTTCTCCAAACCAGTGACCTTGCTAATGGGTACAATTGTTGCCTTTGGAGTAAAGAGGACAGAATCCCTACAAAGTGCTTTTTTATGGATGGCTGGATGTATGTTATTCATCACAAAATACAAACAACAGAAGTGAGAGGGGGAAACCCTAGACATGAAAAAGTCATTCAGCAACCTTTTATTTCATATTCTTTATATATTTCTCAATTTGACTGGCTAAAGGTCTACAGCAAATCACTTTAAGTAGTAAACTTTCAAGAAGCTTCATAATTTAATATATGAAGAACTTTCCAAGAAAATAACATGAATGAATGCTCTGGCACAGAACAGCTTGAATTTTTCTTGGACTTGTGATTAGATGTTAAATTTTATAAATCACTGACAGTTTTTGTAATATATTATGTCAAAGACTGTGATAAAGTATGTTAAAAAAAATCCAACACTCCCATATTCTAGTTATGTACTTAAAAAGGAATAATAGAACAACAAAACAGTGTTAGTGATGGTTAGCAAAAATTAAATGACCGTTTGAAATTAATACAAATCTTTATCCAGCTGAAAATGATTCACTAGTATTACACAGAAAATACAGAAATTGATAAGTTAACTAATTGGTTCATATTTTAAAAAATAACTCTTGGGGGCTTGAAGAAGTACTACAATTTAGAGGTGAATATGTGTAGCTCAGGGTTGAACTGTGGAGTCCTTGGGGTTCTCTGAGCTTGGTTCAGTAATTTAGAGGTGAATATGTGTAGCTCAGGGTTGAACTGTGGAGTCCTTGGGGTTCTCTGAGCTTGGTTCAGTAATTTAGAGGTGAATATGTGTAGCTCAGGGTTGAACTGTGGAGTCCTTGGGGTTCTCTGAGCTTGGTTCAGTGCACTGAAGATGTTACCTAGCTGGTAATGAAACATTTGCAAGAAAAGAACCAAGCTCAGAGAACCCCAAGGACTCCACAGTACTACAATTTGACTGATGACTGAAGTTTTCTTCATTTTCTCATACAAGTCACTCTCTCACACCTGGCCTAACCCTGAAATATATTGGGGAATAAATTCTCATTCATTAAAAATAGTAACTGATAAAACTATGCCAGTCTCAAACAGCAATGCCTTCCTCCCACAGAAATGGGATTACTCAACAAACAGCATGCTAGACATAGATCAAGGGTTACATGTTCAAATAATCCAGGAGTTCGGCTTTAGAGCCAGGATATCTAGGCTAGAATTGAAGAATTTTGTCCAGAAAAT